AGTCCAATTGATTAAAATGGGCATCCATTCGTTTTTCCTGATATTAATAAGTAAATGAACATGTAAGGGGAAAAGAATAATCTTCCCTATAGTATAATGCCTGCTAATAAATGTTCAAGAAATTATGGAATTAGAAAAGCACAGTTTGAGACCCAAAGTGATCATGATTTTAGGCAGAAAGTATCAATAGATTCTAAAAGTTGGAGTAGTTACATAGCCTCAAAATATCTGCCCACAAAACCCTTATTAACTGCAAAGGAGAGAAGAGTAACTGTACAGTAGAGACCCCTGGTAGATACCATGCTACGCAGGAGCTCAAAAGTTTACATCACCAGTAATAGGATAAACCAAGATCCTATGTCATATTATGGGATTCCATGAAAACACCCCGTCATCACATCTGATATTCCTGCCCAGAATACATAATTTCACTTAAATTTAATCATGAGGAAGTAGAAAACAAATCCAGATTGAGCCATTTCCTTGAAATAAATCTCCTTAAGGGTGTGTGTGAATATATATGTACACACACACACACACACACACACACACACACACTCACACACTACTGGTTCTGTTTCTCCAGAAAATCCTTACTGATAACAGTAACAAGTTTGGATTCAGAAGCTTTTGACCATTCAGCTTGCTAATTTTAAGCTTTTGTTCAGATGTCACATTCTCATAGAGGCCTATTCTGATCACTATATCAAAAATGAAAATTAATTATCTCTCCATTCCATATCCCTGATCCCCGGACCCCCCCTCTATTTTCTTCCATAGCAATGCCACTTTTCACATACTGTGTTACTATTTATTGTGTTTATTTTCTGTTTCCCTTGTCCAGTATATAAACTTCACAAAGGCAGGCATTGTAGGACAAGTTCCCTGGGAAAAACCTCTGAGGTGGAGATTTGTGTGCAGAATGCTTCTGGGGTGGGTGGTGCTCCCAGGAACAGCAGGTATAAGGGACTGAGGAAGCAGGGCTGGGCAGAGTGGAGTGCAGTTGAACACAGGTCTCAGCTGATCGCAAGGGGAGCTCGGAAGCTGGGGTCGTGCTTCTGGCTGTCCTGAATTGAAAGACAAGGGGCTGGGTCTTTGTACCCCCATGGCAACCAGTCATTGGATGCAGGGTGCACCAGGGAAGGGACGTTACCTTGGGTAACACAGCTCCCTTTGGCCAAGGGCAATTCCCAGGAGGAGTCAAGTCATGGGGCAGCACCTGGCACCACTCCTGGCCCCTGGAGAATGAGCAGTGTGATCCTGAATGGGGGATCTGGGTGGGTACACTCCAGCAGCAGCCACTAGAGCCGGATCTTTGTCTATTGCTGTATCCCCAGCTCCCAGAAGAGGGCCAGAATTGTTGACTGGATGGGCGAATACATGAATGAATGAACAAATGAATGAATGAATTCCTTTCCCAAAAGGTCAGCAAGCACAGACAGGATGTGGCCACTAGTCTCAGCTGACAAGCAGAATGACAAGAGTGTAAAAATAGAAAATAGGTCAATGTCAATAGAGAAACCTTTAAGACACTTCAGTATAAAACAAAAAGCAGCAAATGGGAGAAGAGAGGCATAGGGCTTTGGGAAAGAATGGCAAGGTTGGATATGGCATCGAATACATTTATATTTCAGGGAGTTTCCAAATCTTCCACATAGGTTCCGAGCAGTTTATTGTAGGACCAGGGTGTGCTGTTGCAGGCCCGAGGGGCCCAGGGTTAAAGAAAGCATCCTGCTAACACAAGGAGCAACTGGCTCCCGTGACAGAACTTTTAACAAGCCTTTTCTCATATCTGTTGACTTAACGCAGGCCAGGGAATTCTTTGAAAGGCAACATGGCTATAAATCAGCAAGTCCCGTAACGTGCATTCCAGGGTCTTGGAGGAAAAGGCTGCACACAAAGGCACCTCTTCTAAGTCTTTAGGAATGCCTTGGTGAGTGGCCCTGGGAGTCTTGGGGTTAGCCTGGGGCTGGGAATGGAAAACATCCAGAAGGGAGGAGCAAGGAAGCACCAGCCATAGTAGCATAGCATGTTTCTACTAGAACATTGGGCACCCAGCACCTAGCTCAGGGCCTACTACCAGCGGATAATCAGCACTCAAGGAATTTCTGTTGAATGACTGACTAAATCATAGTCAGTTGTCTTGGTTCTGGCCCTGGTTCTGTCATTCACTGGTTGTGTGACCTTGAGGAACTCCCTTCTCCGAACTTTGGTTAACCATGTGCATAAAATGTTGGGCTTGAATACAAATGGAATCTTTGGGAGTGCATGACCTATCAGTTCCTGAGTCCTAAAGAACATTCAAAGAGGTGCATGAATCTGTGGAAAGGAGAAAAATACAAAAAGCCTACATGGCAGAGAACATTGCAGCTTCCTGAGCTAACGTGACCACCTAAGATGGTTAGAACCTGCTAAAGGAAGTAAACAATTCCTGTCATGGCTGGCCCTCCCACCCCCCAACCCCCACCCCCGTGGGATATGCTGGGGCCGCAGGAGACTGCTGTGTCCACCACTCCAGGGGAAATGCCTCTTCCACAGCTGGCTCAAACACAACAGGTCCCCCGAAACACAAAAAATCCCCTCTGGGACAGTCTGACGCCAGGTCAAGGGGTAAGAGGCAAGTGCTGTCTGATACCCATTGCAACTTCCACTATATCTGGGGCAGACCATCTCCTTAAGGCCCCAGGGGAGGCAGAATCAATTTTAGTCAATTGCCTGCTCACTTCCATCTGTAGCCTGACGTGGTAGAAAGGACAACAGGCTCCCACTAAAAATACAAGGGTTCAAATTCTAGCTTTTCTGACACTTGCAAACTTGACAAGTGACTTGATTTCTCTGGATCTGTAAAATGGGAATGATCATAACAGCTTCACAGGTAGGATCAAATGGTCGGAGATTTATAAAATCAGCATATTTATTTCCCCTCCCACCCTGTCCTCCCTCCTTCCTTCTCTCCTTCTCTTCTGTGCAAGTCAGCCCAGTTAAGTCAGAGCAGAGTACAAGCAAGGCCAAGGGCATGGTAGGTGTGATGCTCATGTGGGACCACAATCCTGCTCCTTGTCCTGGCCCTGTCGGTCCTAAAGAGTCAACTTGCTAACTGTGTGCTTACACCTTCTCATCACAGAGCAAAGGCAGTTTGCCACTGACCAGTATCACTGTGGACAAATACTATTTACTCAGCAAGGATGCCAAGCATTTTTAATCCCTGACTCATCAGGAAGAGGAATTTGGCAAAAGGGGATGGGGGGTGGGGAATGAATGAGATGAAACTGAGTGAGACCAGAATGTAATTATGAGGGTCAGATTCCGCCATTCCGGGGCACAGAGGAAGAGGGGATGAGATGGTCCTTTCCCCTCCAGAGCTGAAGTGACCCCAATTCCCCCTTTGGAAAACTGAAGAAGAAAGAACCATAAAAGATGTGTGGAATTTTTCTTCTCTTTCTCGGAGTTGCACCTTATGCTGAACCAGGGGCTCTGAATCCTTTGGCAGACTGCTGACATCATTGAGAGGGACCCTCAAAATCTACATTTGTACGAAGCCGTATTTGTGTACTCTGTAACTGTAAGTTCAAGTGCTTTCATGGAGGAGGCATCCTTTTGACTCATATCTGGGTCCTTGTATTCAAATCAGTCGGATTCAGACCCACTGCAGCCGGGCCTTGTAGCTGAGTCCCCATTTCTCCAGACTCCATCTTTTGCCTCATCTCTCTCCACACTTGGGGTTCAGCACCCCAACTGTGGGAACAAACCACAGAGCAGCTCTTTCCTTTCTGCGGGCTGTGATGAGGCCTGCCTGGCCTTCCCCCTCAGTGTTAACCTTCTTGGGGGCCGAATCTGAGGGGGTACCTGGCTCCTCTGGGTGCTGAGGGATGAAAACTCACATGGTGACAGTCCATTTGCTTACTCCACTTAGGCTGATGGCCTTGCTAGGCCTACTCTTTTCTTTCTTTCCCGGCCCTTTCTTCCCATCACTGTGCCTCTTCATCATCTCCTCTCCCCCTTTCTAAGATGCTAAAGACAGGCTTGTTGCCCCTCTGCGCCTATGTCTTCCTTTCCCAAGATCTTTGCCTCCTCTTCTAAGCCTTTCCTCTGTAGTTAAGCCATGAGGATTTCCTCCTCTGCAGTGCCACAGGGTGCTCTTAATACCAGATTGTACTCCAGTGGGCCCAGCGAAATCACCCCAGGTGAGTGGACATCGAGATGGTCCTAAAAACTAAACAGTCTCAAGAAAGAGTGGCATCATCAAAAGGAATGAGATCTTGCCATTTGCAACAACGTGGATGGAACTGGAGGGTGTTATGCTGAGTGAAATAAGTCAATTGGAGAAAGACATGTATCCTATGACCTCACTGATATGAGGAATTCTTAATCTCAGGAAGCAAACTGAATGTTGCTGGAGCGATGAGGGGTGGGAGGGATGGGGTGGCTGGGTGGTAGACATTGGGGAGGGTATGTGCTATGGTGAGCGCTGTGAATTGTGCAAGACTGTTGAATCACAGATCTGTACCTCTGAAACAAATAATGCAACATATGTTAAAAAAAAAAGAAAAAGAAGAAGATAGCAGGAGGGGAAGAATGAAGGGGAGTAAGTTGGAGGGGGAGACGAACCATGAGAGACGATGGACTCTGAAAAACAAACTGAGGGTTCTAGAGGGGGGGAGGGTGGGGGGATGGGTTAGCCTGGTGATGGGTATTAAAGAGGGCACGTTCTGCGTGGAGCACTGCGTGTTATGCACAAAGAATGAATCATGGAACACTACATGAAGAACTAATGATGTAATGTATGGTGATTAACATAACAATACAAAAATTTAAAAAGAAAGAGTGGCATCAATTGAGCCCTGACTATGGGCCAGGAAATTTACATGCAATGTATATTTAGTCCTCACAGTATTCTTCTTAGATACTTTTACTCCCATTGTACAGATGAGAAAATTACAGCTCAGGGAAGTTAGTACCTAAGCTGAAGTCTTGGTTAGCAAATGACAATCATAACCTACCCCAGGTCTGTCGGAGTCTGGAGCTCACTCTTGTTTCCACACTCCGGCGCCTCACTGACTCCACAGTAATCTTCACATCCATCTCTGGCTGATGCAATGTCATCTTGATGCTCAGGGAAATATGATGTGTCAGGTTCAAATTTAATCACAACATCCTATAAATTATAGTTAGAGAAGCAGAAATAAATGTGTCAAGATGATTTTGTAGGATGAGACATAAGCTCTGATAATTTGACCTGAGTTGAAAGATAAGTCTGTGTGTGTGTGTGTGTGTGTGTGTGTATGTGTGTATGAGAGAGAGAGAAATAAACAAATTCAGCACATTAATGAAAGCATCAGTGTAGGGCCAGTGGTCCCGAATGCTGGAGCACAATGAGAGAGCAGCTCAGGAAATGATTTTAATGAACAGAGACTCTGGCCTCAGGGGAATACCCAGAATCAGGAAAGCCTTAAACTCTTCTCAGTTCATGTTTTCTTCTAAGGAAATCCTGTACAGAATTTATTATTAGCAAGAAATATACATTGAATTATTGAATAAGGGGTCTTTAAACAGGAATATAACATAAAACAAGTCTATGTACTGATCAGTTGACAAAAATGTGCCCAGAGGCTTGTAGGAATCTGATCCTGAATTTCTTCTAGGAGCAATGGCTTAATATTTGCTAATTCACTCTTTGTAGTGACTTTATTAGAATATACCAAGAATCATGAGAACTGATGGTATGTTTGGGGTTTTTTTGCCTGTTTATATTGTCTCTCTCACTGGACAGTACACTCCATGAGGGTAGGCATCACGTTTTCCTCACTTCTTGATCCTTGCAATCCCTTGGATTAATCCTACTTTGGCAGATGCCAAATAAATGCCTTTTGGAGTGAATGGGTGGATTAGTGAAAGTTAGGAAAAGAATCATGAAAGTGTTGAATCACAGAAGTCAAGAGAGTTTTGAGGAATGAGTAATCATCCATGTAGCCAAAGCAGAGGGGTTGGCAAGTAGGGAGGAGCAAATATCCATTGGGCTGGCAGGTAGGAGGTCGTTCATAGCCTGGGAGACCTGTTTCAGCTGTGGAAGGAGGACAGAAGTCATATTGTAGTGGGCTGAGGAACTGGCACTTGAACAAGGGGGTAGGCTACATTTTTTAGAAGTTTAGGTGAGACGGGGAAGAAATAGATTTGACAGAAGCTAGAGGAGCCTCTGGTCGAGGGGTGGGTCTTTCGGGACTGGAGAAGTGCTCTCATAGCTAGAAGGTGGGGAGAAGTAGCCCGAGAGAGGAAGAGGCTGGGGGTATAGCAGAGAGAGGCAGAAAGAACAGTATGTGGTTCGTGGCAGAGGTCAAACTCTAAACAAGAAGAGGGAGATCTCAGCCGTACAAACTAGGGAAAAAGAAAAAAGGAAAAGTACAGATATTAATACATTTATAGTGAAGGGGGCAGGAAGTTGAAGGAGATCCCTCCTGATTACCTTGATTGCTCTCTGTCCAGTAGGAGGCCAGGTAGGACATAAGGGAAGAAGAGGGAAGGTACCTGTAAACTGACTACAGCTTAGAGATCATGAAGAAGCTTATGCCAGATAAATCCAAGGACTGATGGGTAGAGAAGCACTGGAGGCCATGATGCTGCAGTGGCGTTAGCAGCCAGGGTAAAAAGAGCAGCCAAGGCAGGCTATTGTGTTTCTGGTCAGCTCTTGAGTTTTGCTGGGCAAGGACTACAGAGCAAGGGAGCTGAAGAATCTGCAAGAGAAGAGTTCAGACTGGAACAGGCTGATGGGTGTGAAAAAAGCAGAAGATGAAGGATTTGTGGTCCCCATGAAGTGAAAGAACAGGTATGTCAGGATAAAGATATGAGTGGGCAAGGTCAGAGGTTCATGAGGGAAGCTCTAGGTAATGACTGAGCCCAGAGTGTTGCCATGTGAGTGGGCAGCTAAAGATGAGTAGAGTTCCTTGACCTTAAGGAGATCCAGGGGATGGAAAATCAATGATCCATCTCGTCTTGTATTAATTTAGCAAGTTGTTTCCTGAATTCAAGCTTCTTATTTGTGGCTTTACAGCCTTAGCAAGGTAACAGTGAGGCAAAATATGACGAGCATCATGTGTATAAGGAAAATGGAAATATTAACCTTATAAAGGTAGACAAATACAAATCCTCCCTTCCTCCATACATATTACAAAATCTAATGGGTTAATTACTTGAAAGAAAGTTGAAGAAAGGTTTTACTGATATGGAAGTAGTGTGATATAAAAGAAAATATCTGGGTCCAGAATTAAGGTAATAATGTATTTCTTGACTCTAGACTCCCCATCAACAAATGGATCACTAAACGGTCCAACTGAGTGGACTTTTTACCTGCTCTTAATCTTCTTGACTTTGGAAGAATGTCGCCTGACACTGCAGGCCATCCTCTCCCCAGACTTTGCCTTCAGCAACACCACCTTTGAGGTTGCCCTACTCCTTCTCTATATGCCCTTCTCTGGCTCCCCCTTCTGATTTTATACCCATAGGGATCTGCTTTTAGCGTCGCCCCTTTCTTTTTCTACACCTTGTCCCTTGGCACTCTCTTTCATTTGCATAGTTCAATCAGTGTCTTCTTGCAGGGAATTTAGTTCTTTATCTTCAGCTTTGATTTTTGTCCCTTGCTCTAGCCTGAATTTCCAAATACCTGCTAGACGTACCTGCCAACGTATCAAGTTCACATCAAAATGGAATGGTAACATGCAGAAGAATGAAACTGGACCACTTTCTTACACCATACACAAAAATAAATCAAAATGGATGAAAGACCTAAATGTGAGACAGGAAACCATCAATCCTAAAAGAGAATACAGACAGAAACCTCTTTGCCCTCAGTCGTAGCAACTTCTTACTAGACAGTCTCTGGAGGCAAGGGAAACAAAAGCAAAGATGAACTATTGGGACTTGATCAAGATAAAAAGTTTCTGCGAAGCGAAGGAAATAATCAACAAAACTAAAAGGCAGCATATGGAATGGGAGAAGATATTTGCAAATGACATATCTGGTAGAGGGTTAGTATCCAGAATCTATAAAGAACTTGTCAAACTCAACACCTAAAAACAATAACCCAGTTAAGAAATGGGCACACAAGATGAATAGACATTTTTCCGAAGAAGACTTCCAGATGGCCAACAGACACATGAAAAGATGTTCAATATCACTCATCATCAGGGAAATACAAATCAAAACCATGATGAGATACCACCTCACACCTGTCAGAATGGCTAAAATTAACAACACAGGAAACAACAGATGTTGGCGAGGATGTGGAGAAAGAGAAACCCTATTGCACTGTTGGTGGGAATGCAAACTGGTGCAGCCACTGTGGAAAACAGTATGGAGGTTCCTCAAAGGGTTAAAAATCGAACTATACTTTGACCTAGAAATTGCCCTACTAGGTATTTACCCAAAGGACACAAAAATACTGATTCAAAGGGGCACATGCACCCCAATGTTTACAGCAGCATTAACAACAACAGCCAAATGACTGAAAGAGCCCAAATGTCCATTGACTAATGAATGCATAAAGAAGTTGTAGTATATATATATATATATATACACAGTAGAATACTACTCAGCCATTGAAAAGAAAGGAATCTTGCCATTTGCAACGACATGGATGGAACCAGAGCGTATTATGCTAAGTGAAACAAGTCAGTCAGAAAAAGAAAAATACCACATGATTTCACTCATATGTGGAATTTAAGAAACAAAACAGATGAACATAGGGGAAGGAAAAAAAAAAGAGAGGAAGCAAACCGTAAGAGACCCTCAACCATAGGAAACAAACTGAAGGTTGATAGAGGGGAGGTGGGTAGGAGATGGGCTAAATGGGTAATGGGTATTAAGGAGGGCACTTCTTGTATTGAGCTTTGGTTATATGTAAGTGATGAATCTGTAAATTCTGCTCTTGAAACCATTATTACAACTTAACGTTAACTAACTAGAATTTAAATAAAAATTTGAAAAACAAAACAAAATAGGACAGAATGCAGAATTTTCCTTTTTAGGCCATTGTGTTCCATATTTCTGTCCATTGGACCATCAGACTCTCTCTTGCTAAACGTATTTTCCCTTCCTTACAAGTGACAGTTACTCAAAGAACCATAGGACCATGGGCATTTGATTGGAAGGGATCCAGAGGTAGTATCTCATAGTGGGAGGCATTGTGACTAAGAACAGCTACGGTCTTTGGACTTGAGTGGATCTGTATTTAAATACTGGCTTAGTCTTTTGCTTGCTGAGTGACCTTTGGGGAGTTACTTAATTTCTCTGTGCTTCAGTTACCTTTAAAAGCTTTTGTCAGCATCAGTTAGATGATGTGTGTAATGTTCTTAGTCAAGGGCTTAGCACTTATTAAATGCTCAGTGAAAGGTGATTATTATCAGGGATTCCACCCCTTCATTTTTCAGATGGTGAAACTAAGGACCAGAGAGATAAAGTGATTAAATAAAAGTGAAAGAGTTGGAACTAGAAACCAGTCTGATGACTTCAAGACCTGTGTCTTCCTAAATCTTAAGGCTCTTTATACCTAAGCTAAGGGAGTAATGGTTTGAAATAGTAAGAAAACTGTCTTTGGAGAAGCCTATTTTTAGATCATTACTAGGGGAAGACACCATGTCTTTTTAGCTTGCTGTCAAATCTTAATTATTTATGCTAATTGGGACCAAGGAAACTTGGTTAAATGAAAGGCACGTGAAGTGTCCAAAGGTCGTTTAAATAACGGCTTCAACTTTTTCCTCAATTACTGTCTATCAGTTTATTGGAGGTACTACATTCAATGTGGCAACAGAACATGAAAAACCAGCAAAATGTTTCAATCACAGGTTTCTAACTAGGTTTCAAAATAGAGGCATAGTATCATAATTAACTTCATCTCAAAAGAAATCTTGAAGGAAAATTTGAAAAACAGAAATAGAATGAGAGCACTGTGGTAAATAAAAAGAGACAAATGAAATTTCTTATCTATTGTTATCAATGTCTGCAAGAGCACCATGCTTGGGAGGAAATTATTCCCTGCTTCCTAATGCTGTTTTTCATTTTACTTATCTTGTTAACTTTATTAAACCCAACAGGAAGTAATTTTAGCATAACCGCTAATTTGTTTTGACGTGTCTCAAGAGACCTATTTTTTTTTCTTTTAAATAA